GTACACTTGCCATATTTCTAGCTGTAATCCAAACATGACACTCTTTTAGTCAACTTCTACTTTCGTTCCATGAATATTGCGCCCATTTCATTGCGCGATATTTTCAACAATTCGCAGAGAAGAACACACCTATCTTATATTGGAGGCGCGTATAAGCATCACCATCTAGCCAAATTATTATATCGCAAATTTTCTTGAATTCTGTTTCAAATGCTGTGTGATTCTGATACAGCTTAGTTATCAATTTGTACTTCTAGGCGGTGTACTCATTGTGCCTTTTTACAACGCTCTTTTGATCCCCTGTGAAGGAGCTTAATGATGGTGGCCTATCAAGATAAATACCTGTTTGAAGAGGCTGCCCCTGTGAAGTGGGACCCTGGGGTGCAGGTGCTTGTGGCTGAGGAGCTTGGTTTGCATTTGAAATGGAGGTGAGTTGTCCCTGAAGCAATGTTACTTCAGTATTTTTTCTATCTATAGAAGATCGAAGCTTCTGGATAGATTTTTCTCTGTCATTCAAAACAGCTCGCATTTCTTGTAGAACTTGTCGGTTTACTGAAGAATGCTGATTAATAAGGCTGAACATCTCGTGAAAAATTGTTCGGAATTCGACCGGAGCATCAGCCAAGCTTGAAAGGTCTACTCGTTTTTCAAACCCTACACCGTCAAATATTTCTCCCAGTGCTGGGTAATTTCCCATCACTTCAGCTAAGGCTCGCCAGGCTATGTCATGTCTACTTTCTAATTGCTGAGTTGGAGCTGGGATGCTACTAGCTTCATTCATTTGTTCTCCCCGGGATTCTCCATAGTCTCGGCTTGACAGGAATAAGATCTTTATCCTAATCTCAATTACTCGGTTCAGATTCTAGGTAGCTTAGTGACTCGGTTACTCGTTGATTTCGGTACTCGGTGGCTCGGTGTAAAAAACAAAAGTGCTGTAGATTGAAAGGATCGCAACCCGCAACAATATTTTTTTTTCCACTCAAATTGAAAAAGTAACCTAGCGCGCGAGCGATTAAAGAGATGCAACTAACTATCACGGGCAGTTGGGCAGTAATTTAGTTCTCAGGGTAATATATTTGTAGTTTCAAAAAAGAGGAACTTAATGGTCTACGGAATCTACATATACGCGTGCTCACCTAATCACCACGCTAGTGGTATCACCATGAAAACACTAGTACCCGTGACATGGATAAAGATATCGCTTGTTGAGACAGCCAGATTGATACATGACACGCCTGCAAATGGGCGGGAGCAGAGTTCCATTGGAAATAACTACATTTCTTACAGTCATTGTCGTTCCTTGTAACTGTGAACAGCTTCCCTTCATACGGCAATCTAATTTCTTATCGCTGTTAAGCGATTTTGTCATACATTTGCATGTGCAAGGTAGTACGAAATTGGGCGCAAATCCAGTCCAAGATAAGTTTGTGTCTACTTTGCGCCAAATGAGATGGCATTAATGGTACGGGGTAATCATTTCCTCAATCTCCGCACAACAGTTTTGTGGTCAGTTTTGCTAATAATTTTTCACTGTAGATTTATTGTCCGTATACCCGCTTTACTTCTCGGATTTACACGTATGACTTCTTTTTTTACATGTAACTTAGATCTTTAATGGAAGTGACATTTTTGAGCTATACTTTCTACTCTGATATCGCAACAAGTTCCGACAGTCGAAGGCCTTGGATGGTTACACTCTCCACGCGGCTTCCCGATTCGAACCCCATGCAATCGAGAAATAGAAGCTAGGCCAGGAAGTGTAAAGTGATGCTTAGCTTGCCTTACAGCTAAGACAGTCTGTGTCTTCTCTGATAGATCTTCATCGGGTTCCGGACAATCAGCTTAGGGATATGTACTGTACCAAGAAGACATGCTAGCTGGAAGTAGTTCTGGTCCACCTTTTTTTTAAATCATTTAATGTGTATGCAGCTATAGAGCTGTGACACATGACCGGTGCTATGTATACAAGTGGGATGACTCTTTTGACGTTAGAGACACTCATACTCTGTATTTCATTCGCAAATACCACTATGAGATACGTTGGCTTACACAAACAGTCGACCCTCCTCCGTTAGTACCCACCAAAGGGAATTTCAAAACCTTTGATTATCCAAGCATGCCTTCGTCATCCATGCATACCAGCGCCGCGAGAAATGTGATTGTGTTTTGCCGGATTCGAACCAGCGATCTGCTGTCTCAAGTGGGATGTGTCCAAGCTATCCAGACTCTACTTGGCAGACCGGCCAAGACGATGTACCACCGCACCATCCAACCATGGCGGTGTTTATAGTGTCGCCTGCACTCTCGCAACCGAAGTCTTGGCACGCACAAAGCTCAATTTGTAAAAACTCCTTTCCAAATTTCAAAATTCCATGCCCGTCGAGACTGTATCCATCCTTCGCATCATCTTGTGAACTTGTCCTGAATCCTCTCACGTCCCTCCCAAAGAACAGTCTCCCAGATATGTGCGCCACGCTTTGCTTCCTTCTTCGGGTGTAAATATCGGCGTGGGCGTGTATCTGGTGACCAGCTGAGGCCAGAGAAAGTCGACAAGAGGTGTGATCATTGGAATGAGGATGTACTAGGTCGTACTTGTAAACTTGATGAGGCTTGGATAGGATTCGGACTCTTTAGGAGTGAAAATTTGACGTGGTGGAGTAATTTGAGTCATTGCCTCGAGGGCCAACTTGTTCGGTATTGCGAAATTTGACTGAACTTGGCTCTGGGAGAATATTTCACTCCCAGGTTCGTAGAGGGGCCCACTTCTTAGAATAGAGGTATTTGACGCAAAAGTTGTGGGCGCCACGAGTGTCATAGAGGCTACAGTAGCGGCGGGAGAAGGCTCACCGATCCGCATTCTTCTGGACAACCAAGCGGCCACCCAGGGCGCTTGATAGAGGAATATCTAATTCCTTGCAGGCAGTGGTGGGTGAGTTTTCATCTCTGAGACATAAGAAAGAGTACGTGGAAATACACTGGATGCCTGGTCATGCGGGGATCCAAGGCAATGAAGAGGCCGATAAACTGGCTAAATTGGTCTTAGGGGGGCTCTCAGTGACGAGTCACTAACTTCAAAGACGCCCAGTGTGGAAGAACTAAATCTAACCTTTGCAGCATTAGGGAGATCTGAAGTGAATGTGTAGTCTCATAATCTGTCATGGAGAATTCAGTGGTATAATTATTCGAGATGCTAGGCGAGATTTCTATATGTCAAATTGGGGTTGGACGGTGCAGTGGTACATCATTCAGGCCGTTCTCCCAAGTAGATACTGGGTAGCTTAAACACCTACCTTATTTGAAACAGGAGAAAGCTGGTTCTTATCCAGTGAAACCCACACACCACTCTCTCTCGCGGTGATATTGTACTTGTCGGATGATAAAAGCACACTCGGATAGCCACAGGTTTTTCACGCTTTTCCCTGTGGTGGGTGTTAACATTTCTATCTTGATGTCGACCCGTACAAACATACCGTATACTAGTAACTCATATTGATACTCGGGATTGCGATGGATAGCAGAGATTGATGGTATTTATGGCAGTGCGGGGTCTGGTAATCAGTGACAGGGATATGACACGTGTATATATATGTCGCGCACTTGACTCCTCTTTAAAATGATGATGCTTCCGACTACATACACAGTGCCCATTCCTACTCTGGGCTAATCACCCCTCACCGTATTGGTCCTATCTTCTAATTAATGCTCTTTCGCCCTTTTATCTTAAATGACAGGTCATGATATTCTTCGTCTTGCTGGCCATCATCAAGCTCAGAGTTACGGACAGATTAAATCTTTAACAGTAAGTATGCACGGAAGAGGTTGTACGCCGTAAGGGTTAACCTTGAGTGGCCTGAAAGGAGGGAACATAAGCTTCTACCTAACGTGTGCCCAAAACAGAGTTTATATTCTATCTAGTGAGAAGGTTTTCCGTAAGGTTGTTCATGAACATAAAATTATGCGTCGCGTAAGGCGTCCCTTTACATAAGTAATGACAACGCTTGACCACAAATGTGTCAGCGCTTGGCAAGGGACCGGATAAACTCCGCTTCCAGACTACATAACTACAGCCTGTAACAAGTGGTAACTGCAAATGAAATCTGAGTTTGAGTGTTCTAAATGTCAAATTGAGTCATCCTACTAAAAGTACATATCTTCCGATAAAACCTGCACGGTCCTCAAGGCGCCAAATCAGGATAATGAATTGCATATCTATATGTGAAAATGCCAAGACGCTAGCTACCTTCATGCTACTGGCACACAAGTCTTTCATTCTGATTCTTAACAAACGGCACTGGCATTTTTAGGTTGCCGACCTGCTTTGAGATGTTGGAGAACCAGCGAGAAAGTGGCCTATTTAGGACCAGGGAAATGATAGTGGAGAAGGGATGGCAGAAGTTTTCCAATTCTTAACTACAAGCAATTGTAACAGTCTGCCGGAGAATGAACAGGGTGGGGCGTGACCAAGCTGAGATTATTTCTAACTTGAGAGTAGATGGGTGTGGAAGATAGGGATGCGGTGCAGGGCACTATAACTCAGACATTTACTGTATCTTTCTTTCCTTATTTTGGTTTGTTGCCTCTGGATTTATTGCCGGTCATGTGATTACCAATGAGCCCTCAAAGCCCATCTACCCGTGTCACGTCTAAATAGATATTGGGACCTTCTTGTCATGTTAGAAATTTCAAGTGCATTTTCAAATTATTACAAACTACTACTGAAAGCCCCTTGAGGAACATTGCATAGGCTTTTCTGCTCAATGTACAAATATTTTTTGTTTTCATTAGTCAATATTTAAGTGACAAGGGTATCTTTCTATATACGTGCACACCAGCCGAAAAAAATAAACATTGCTCTTCACGATTTCCTATCATCAGGGATATTATTAGTAGTCGTGTACTAAATGCCACACATGATTAAAGCCCGCACATGTTTTGTCAAGCTAGGATCCACGACTTGTATGGTACTTCCTTATTCAGTTTTATGTCTGCGTGTTGAGTTCCTAGTAATAAATTTTTGGTTTCCAAATGGGAGGCCTTGATGTTTCTGGATTCCAGGTAATGAAGTTGTCGTCACCTAGAATAGCACCTTCATCGGTTATGGGAATAACCTTGCCGGTCTCGGAGATTTCTTCTGAGGAAATCCCGATTGAATCTCTTGGTACCCATAAGAGTGGAACTTTTGAGGTCACTGATGGTGGTAGAAATGCATTTTCGGCATCAGCTTCGGCAAGCTGATTGTGAAAAGTTTCACTCCTCGGGACAATTTTACGCAAAGTTGCGTAGTCATACTGTATGTAAGTTTCGATAAATCTAGTGAATGTATCGCGTTGTGAATGGACCGTTGGCACCGGTGAGCTGTCCATATTTTGTTCACTATTCTTGCCGTTCGTGTCTGGGGTTTCCGCATCGTTGCTCTCTTCAGCCATTAATGATTTTGGAAGAGTGTACAGCAATGGACCAAGGGCCTTGTTCAGTAGTAGGTGATATACAACAGTGAAAATAATAAAGACTATCATTAAGACAATAGGACCTGATGCTTTTGAGATGATGAAAAGCCCAAGAAGACAAAATTCTGCAAGATATACACCAGTTAAAAGCTGTTGGAGGGCACGAGGGTAAATTAGCCCTTTAGTGTTAATAGGAGAATCTGATACGAAAAGGACATTGTAGCGATAAGCAATGTAGAAAAGAAACATAGCGACAGCTCCAAAACCGATCACTACTGGGGCGATACATGAATATACGATTCCTGTCAAAAGTTAAGCTTTAGATCATGAGAGGTAATACAGCACATACCGATGACCGCAATGTTGGTAAATACAGGTAGAGTGCTACCCCAGGAGATAGCGCTCAAGGAAGACCATTTCTGATACATAGATCTTGGTGTCTTCGCGAGGAACCTGTAAATGAGCTTAAATATGATGAATCCGACGACTTGAGAAATGACACCGGATGCTACAGTTAAGCCTTGAACTAACAAGTATGAAATGTAAAAATTTGAGGCTTTAGGAATCTTAGTAGCAAGCAGACTGGTAATACTGCTTGGGTCATCTGTCACTTCTTTGACTAGAGTCGTAGCTGCTGAAGCAACCGTAGCGACGAGGAATACATGTACAACCTGAAAGACAAAGTATGCGTTTTGAGTGAAAAGCTCAACACGAGCTAGTGAGGGCTCCCCAGAGAGTTTAGCGGCAACTGTTAACTCGTTATTAGATTATAACAAGTGGGCGAAGAAATGAATATTCACCTCTCATTATTACTGGAACTAGAGACATCAAGATGGCCATGGCAACTGCTGGGAGTAGTCCGGTAATTAAACCCATGACATTATTGGGTATCTTCCTTAGCCATGCTAGCTCCGAATAGTTCATTAAGTAACTGACGTTCGATATTGAGCCGACTATACTGACCGGGATGGCCCAAAAGATGATTAGGACTGAGATGAACCCCAGCACTACAACTCTTCGCACCATTCGTTGCCACCAAGTGATTTTTAGTGAATTCCACACGATTTCATCGGGAGATATTCCGATAAACTTTGGAGCCACTAAAATTTCTTAGTTATGAGAAACAAATTAAAAGTATTACATACTTTGTAAAGCCTGGTGATGAGACAGAGTTTGATAAGCGATTTGAGCTTCCGACTGGCTTGTAAATTCTATGAAGACACTGCCCGTTTTTTCACTCTCTCCATCCAGATAAGCTGCTTGAGCGGCTTCTGTAGCAGGTATCAAGTTTTCTAAGCGGCTTCGAGACCAGTTTATGGTATCAACTTTTTGTCCAAAAAGTCCTAGAGCACCGAGTTTGTGAGAAGGTCTGTTTTTTTCTGGCACCCATCGAGCGACTAAAGAACCTAATTCATCATTCTCATCAGCCACCACTCCATCGGGAGATCTCTTGTTGGATTTTTTCATCTTTGTGTTTTTCACTCGTTCTGTGTTTGCTATTTTCATGAGGCTTATTTCAGCTGCCTCTAATTGGAGTGCGATCTGGTCGCGCTCTTGGACAAGCTCATCCAGATTAGAAGTTTCCCGAGTGAGCCAGATACGTTTGACGGAAGCGCCAAATATTTTTCGTAGCATGCTTTCATCTTGGTACTTGTCGGGGACGGATGTAAAAAGAACGGTTCGAGCAGATGTACTAGTGGCGTTGATGGGCGAGAGAAGATAGGCTTGGCGCAGATTGACATAGAAGATGCTTTCGCGCGTGATGAGCAAGAGAATAAATGTAAAGTAGATGCATGCTGCGAAAAATGAAGCGTAGTATTTGTGAAATCCATTACCAGACGCGTCAATGTTACTAGTTGAGAGCATATCAAGCTGTACGTTTCCATTACCACCTGTTGCATAGACAGGCAAACAACTAATAATAGCCTTAGTGTTTGGTGAGAGTTTGCACATCTTTGAACTTACATAGGCCAGGTTATCAGAACCCCAACAAACATTATCAACACCGTAACTTTCAGGAATCGAAGAAAGAGGTATGCATCGAGGGATTGACGTTGTAGAGCACATGTGTCCGATATTTTCGCGAACGGAGCTATCCAGTCAAACCATCCATTAGGTAGAGATTCTGTCCGCTCGTGTTCGGGCAAGGTGCCCAGATAGGTTCGGGGTGCATAGTACCGTCGTTGAGATTTGCGCAGTGATAAGAATATTCCCAGGTAAATGACAGATACAATAAGTGTCGGCACCAGTGTTGCTAACAGACCTGATAGAGTGGTGTTAGGTACATTCTCAGGAACCGTGTTTGACATGTTGGAGATTTCGCGTGTGCAGGGAAAACGCGAGGCGAATGACTAGCTCATATAGAGAATGTGGGTGTGACTTTTGGGCGCCAGTAGAGGAAAGGACTAATTCAGCTGCATATCCGATTGGTAGCATATTCCAGGGAGGACTTTCCCAAGAAAATTTGATATCGGTATTATCAGACAAAAAGCCTGTGCCTGTAAATCCGAAAGTGACATGGGACTAATTTAGATTGAGATCGTAGGCAGGGATCAAATATTTCTAGCTATGATTGACGCCAGTATAAGAGTAGGTGTAGGGGTTAAGTCTCCACCTAAAAATTCCATCACAGGACCTAATAGGATTATTCGCGACGAAATTTTTGCTGATTTAGAGTGCTAAGAGTACCACTTCAGCCTCCATGATATCGTGGCCTGCCGACGTCGTGTTTCTCGCAGGTTTGACGGTTGCAACCAGCCTAAATCACGGGAAGATCAAACATATTAGAGCCCGTCAATTCGACCTACACTAGACTAGTTGCCGATTAGCAGCGCCTGACTTGACAGCTGAGCGGCAAAGAGATCTACACAATCCCTGCACGACTTAACACCCACGCTTAGGTTCCAGCCTCTAACAGGATAATAGCTGGCGCCTGGATTGTTAGCGCGTCAATCTCACATCACCAAAATTCACTTACGGTCTATGCAATATTTAAGGTGTTACAGAATCAAATATCTTTTTGGACGCAAATAGAGCTTCCGATAGAAAATTATTCCGCTTAAAATGTGATTTTCAAAAAAGTTGTGCGCAAGACAAAATAGAAGTTTGACCGCTACAGAACAAAATGACTCCGGTGGTTCACACAAGAAAGGGATGGCAGCAGTTTCTCCTGCATGTTTGAGCTAACTCATAATCTGTTTACTGAAGAAAGCTTCCACCAACGAATAGTTGGTACATGGATACAACTATGACTAAAGTTCAGTTTTCTATTCATTTTTACCCTCCTGGAGTTGGGTAATAATCTTTGTCAGCCTATATAACGCATGGCGCTATCATGTATTTGCTTCTTTCAACGTACAGGATCATGTCTTCTAGATACTAGGATACCTGTTGGTGGTGTTCCCTACGAACCTCCAGATTGCAATGTAGAGTTCGCAGTGCCGAGATTGAGTTACACCGTCTTCACTTCGATGAGGATTCCCAATCGCTTTCGCCGTCTATATCAACTTTATCTCTCAACATATTCCCCTAACCCCATTGTCATGAAACTGACCACCTACAGATCGGATGGTAGGATTGAAGCCATACACATTACCCATCCCTGATCTTGGAGGAGATGCCATCCGATGAGTTTCCGGAGCGTACCCAGCACCCGATACGGCGAAGTTTGATTGGATCAAGTCGGCCTTGACTGTTGCAAAGAAGGGAGATATAGATGAATATGCGCACCTCATGTGGTCCCGGTGTCTAGGCCTCGCCTGGCTGGGGCTGCAGGTTTTTTGAGACTTTTCCCCGCGCGCGCAGTTTCCATCGCTACCATTTTTTTTTGGGTAAAAGGTTCCGTGGAGAAGGTGGCTGAATTTCTTTTTTTTTTTTTTTTTTTTTTTTTTTAATCATTTAATGTGTATTCAGCTATAGAGCTATGACACATGACCGGTACTATGTATACATGTGGGATGACTCTTTTGACCTTAGAGACACTCATACTCTGGATTTCATTCGCAAATACCACTATGAGGTATGTTTGCTTACACAAACAGTCGACCCTCCTCCGTTAGTACCCACCAAAGGGAATTTCAAAACCTTTGATTATCCAAGCATGCCTTCGTCATCCATGCATACCAGCGCCGCGAGAAATGTGATTGTGTTTTGCCGGATTCGAACCAGCGATCTGCTGTCTCAAGTGGGATGTGTCCAAGCTATCCAGACTCTACTTGGCAGACCGGCCAAGACGATGTACCACCGCACCATCCAACCATGGCGGTGTTTATAGTGTCGCCTGCACTCTCGCAACCGAAGTCTTGGCACGCACAAAGCTCAATTTGTAAAAACTCCTTTCCAAATTTCAAAATTCCATGCCCGTCGAGACTGTATCCATCCTTCGCATCATCTTGTGAACTTGTCCTGAATCCTCTCACGTCCCTCCCAAAGAACAGTCTCCCAGATTTGTGCGCCACGCTTTGCTTCCTCCGTCGGGTGTAAATATCGGCGTGGGCGTGTATTTGGTGACCGGCTGAGGCCGGAGAAGGTCGGCGAGAGGTGTGGTCATTGGAATGAGGATGTACTAGGTCATACTTGTAAACTTGATGAGGCTTAGGTAGGATTCGATCTTTTTTGGAATGAAAATTTGACGTGGTGGAGTTATTTGAATCATTGCCTCGTGGGCCAATGGCTGAATTTCACGGGTAAGTACTGAGCTGAATGGCTATTCATCACGGGCAGTATATCAACGATCTTTCAAGAAACATGAGAGGCAAGGAGCACTGTACAAAGTGTGGCATGGGCCAGAGGAGCTCAATGTGCTAAATAGTCCTAGACACAAGCAGCACAATAAATCAAAGCACACATTCTGGATCATAGGTAAGAACTGGGAAGGGCTCGACCCGTCAGATACAAACACCCCCGTGTCGTCTTGGATGACCCTGTTCGCATTGAGCCGCAGCTGCAATTCATACACTGCAAAGCATCAAATAAGTTTCTTCTAGGATATAAGATCATCAGCGATTTCAGAATAATGCAAAAATGCGTCCGGTTGAAGAATAATATCATTTCGGGCTGTGCATGGACATAGCAACGGCGAGAAAAGGGAAGAAACAACACCTATGATCCGCTAAGGTGGTGCAGTGGTACAGCGTTCAGGTCGTTCTCCCAAGCAGATTCTTTGTAGCTCGAACACCTAGCTCATTTGAGACTGGAGAGAGCTGGATCAATCCCGGTAAAACCCATACACAAATATCTTTCACGGTGATATTGTAATTGCGGGGCTGAGGATCCCAGATTGATAGCACTCTAAATAAGTATGAGGCTCTAATAAATTGGAATGATTATGTAATGATTATGTAACAGCGTTCGAGTCGGAGTCCGGGCGCAAGATAAGGAATACTGACCTAGATGGACGATACTCTTTGTAACAGAAACTTAGATTAGATCTAGTCTTGAACTCAACTATACATATTAGTTGTTTGGAGCCACGAGACACCTGTAACTCACATCATAACAAAGCTAAGCTTAACTCACTGTTCACCTGTTCTAACCCACTAGTTACCTCCGTATGACGAAAGCACACTCGGATAAACATGGGTTTTTACGCTTTTCCCTGCAGTGGGTTGCCGGATAGTCTAAGACTCAAGTAGTGCACTAAACATACCTCTCTCTATTAAGGAGGAGTCAGGTGCGCGTTACATGTATACATGTGTGGAGGGCAAGACTGAATACCTGTACGCGGTGTCCTCTATGAACCTGAGAGTAAAATATTCTCCCAGAGCCAAGTTCAGTCAAATTTCGCAATATCAAAGAAGTTGGCCCACGAGGCAAAATTTCGAATTACTCCACCATGTCAATCCTTCACTCCCAAAGAGTCCGATTCTCAACTAAGCTTCATCAAGTCTACAAGTACGACCTAGTACATCCTCGTTTCAATGACCACACCTCTCGTCGACTTTCTCTGGCCTCAGCCGGTCACCAAATACACGCCCACGCCGATATTTATACCCGACGGAGGAAGCAAAGCGTGGAGCACAAATTTGGGAGACAGTTCTTTGGGATGGACGTGAGAGGGATTAGGACAAGTTCTCAAGATGATGCAAAGGAAAAATACAAACTCGACGGGCATGTCATTTTGAATTTTGGCAAGAGTTCTACGAATTGAGCTTTGTGCGCGCCAAGACTTCGCTTGCGAGAGTGCTGCTATCACTATGAACACAAGCAAACGATGTAAGTACCGAAACCTGACGAGGGGCCAAAGCAGTCTAGCAATTCAAATACGAAGTGAGCATATGGGGCTCAACTCGTATTTATACAGAAGAAAAGTACCCGGAGTCTACAGTCCAAGCTGTCCATGTAGCTACCAATCGCAGAACCCCAAGCACATGATCATGTCCTGCCCTATATGGTCAAACGGAAGAGGAGAGATCTGGAGACAAGCGAAAGATCGGTCATACGAAGCTATGCTAAGCAATCCTAGAGATATCAAAAGGATAACACAGTGGATCCTAAATCATGGTTGGATAGAGCAATTCCAGATGACAAAGGCGGTCGAAATGCTGCTGAGGGAAAGGAACAGGTCATGCCTTTCTTGAGGTCGATAAAGCTGATGTGATTGGGTTATATGGAGGGCACTATAGTGTAACTACGCTTCCTAAAGGATACTTTATAAAAAACATAGAAATTAAGCAGGAAGGTTTGGGGGGTTTTCACCAAAAGGTTTCCTCCCATGTAAATTAGAAAGTATATAGACACTCCATGGGCCCATAGGGCGCCTAATCAGGATAAGGAAATCAAATTCAAAAACGATGGAAGGTGCCGTGGTCCGCCTCCTGGTGATGTTCTCCGGTATTGTTTGAGTAGCCTGGGTACCTACTCCACTTGGGAAGGAGACATCTCAGATTACATTTCGCGCGGAGAAAAGTTGATGGATGACGGAGGCATGTCTGGATAACTCAGGGTTTTTGAGATGTTCCCCTGGGTGGGTATTCACGGAAGAGGGTTGACTGGGGTGAAGAAAAGCCGGCATAACTTCGCAGTGGTACTTGCAAATGGGATCCGAGACATGAGTGCTCTTCCTTTACATTGACTCACCTATTATGTACTTTTCTTTGATATTGTGTCATGACTACGTAGCTACATAGCTGCATACGCAATTAAAATCTGATGCAAAAAAATTAGAAAATTCTCCGAGGTACCCACAAGTCTGCAGCGCCCAGCTGGCCAGCCTCTCCGAACGCTTCAGAAGGGGCAATATGTCTACGGATTTATTCCTAATGTCGGTATTAGAAGAGCCCCGCATCCAGAGGTTTTTGCGATTTTTCCC